CCCCAAAACCCCAAAACCCCACTAGTCTCAATTCAATTTGAGAATTGAATTTATGAAATTAATACTAATATTTATGGTAAAAGTAAATAAGCATTTATACCAAATCATAATATATCCTCTGTCTTGTAATCATTAGTGATCATCATAATATATTTCATTCTTTAGCTTTATCTACTTGAGATTAGTATTTGCTAAAATTCTCTATTATTTCTGAGGGAATCTATTCACCATTCATAGCTTTTTATACTATCATCTCGAAAATCTATTCACTACTCATTTCTTTTTGCTTATTAGCGCTTTAAAACATCGAAGGAGTCTAAGAATTGACATAGTCAGTTAACCTACTCAAAGGCTTACTAGCCATTTTCCTGCTCATATCAGTTTGAAAAGGGCTAGTGGCACCTGAATTTTGGGCAGTTCGTAAAATATTCCACTATTAAGTTAAATTACCTTCTTCTACTACTTTCTTTTGCTTATAAGGTGGTGTTTTTTCCTCTATGAATGATTTTTGAAAAGTATATTTATTTGGTTTCGGCCTCACAAGTAATTTTGAGGTGAAATAGTAATCATTATGATCTCCCTAATTACTTTTTTATTATTCTAGCTAAGTCCATTCATTATACTCACTAAATAGTTTAGTATTTTTGTATTTCGAAAGAGCACTTAGTGATTAAGGTTGAAAGTGAGAAGATACATTATGATCAATGTGAGTATCTTGTTCATCCAAAAGTAATCTATTTAAATGGATATTAATTTGACTTAGAAATTTATAAGAATAATTTTGAAGTATTAATGCACTTACTCATGATGAGGATGATTATTTTGTAGAAATTCTTCGTATTCATTAGCAGGAGGCGTTTAAGTATGATTAATCAATTGCATAAGTTGATCATCTGTTATACCATGCCTTAGTTCATTGGCTTCATCCATTTATATCTACCTAGTGAATGAATCTTCATCTTTCGAGTGTTTTCTATGGTTATTATTCAAGGTCTTCTAAAGATTAAGGGGAGGAATCATATCCTATTTAGCTAGAGTTTTTTTCCTACCCATACTCAAGCTTCTTTTTTATTAATCCTCTATTTTACTTAGTTTTGAGCCAGTAGAATTTTATGTGTTCAGGTGTAGATTATCAATAAAGGCATTAGATATCTTAGAGTTCTTTGAGTTCTTTGAGCCCTTAGAGTTTTAAGAATTAAAGGTGTTTTTCTTTTCCACTTCGTACAATCTTTTCGAGCCTTACATTATTTTACCTAATCCCTCGCCTACCATGTTCTAAATTTTTTTGCTGTCAAAAGTCGATACCTGAACATCTTTGGGAGATGATAGATCCTTACGAGATTAAAAGCTTTCATTTGAAATACTGTTCATTGGCATCGTCAGAAAATTCTTCTCACCTCCAGGTTATGACACCGAGTTTTAAGGCTGATTAATTTTATTAGTTCGGGTAGAGTTTTTCTTTCGAGTTGATAACATAGCTCTCTAGGAACCATCGTTATTGATATCATCATTTATTTTATTCAATTATTTACTTAAACTATTAAGAGATGTTAGCCCTCCAAGATTAGCATTAGTTTTAGAATTTTGTAAATTAGCGAGTTGAGTTTACCCTGCCTTAGAAAGTACCACTTTATTCAAAATAGATGTTACCAAAAGAGATTTAGCACCTGGCTAGATTTTACCCAAATTATTATTATTATTGTATGAAAAAGTTTGCTGATTCTGTAGACCAGAATTGGTAGACATTGTAGAATTTTTGTTTTGTATTTTTGATTACAGAGCAGCTTATGTTTTTTTAAGCAAATTGAATTTTTCATCATTAGGCTATCTGTTTGTAGCATTTACAAACGAGTGTTGAAAATCAGATATTGTAGATAATGTTGGCCTCTTTGCTTTTAAAGAAGAGGCATCAGTTTTGATACTGCTAATATAAGAATTACTAAATTTGTTTTCGAATACTGTCTCTGGACTAACATTTAAGTACTTTTCATCACCATAATATGATAACTCTGAAAAGCTAGAAGTGTTTGAGCCTAAAGTCTGCACCTCAAAGTCTTTGGGCTAATTAGACTGCTATTGATACATCTCTCTCTGGTCCTTCCCTTGTCTTTTCAGCAGAAATTTATGAAGTTTCCTCTCTAATCTATTATTTCTATAAAATGGGTCATCTATGATTTCTTGATCTTCATCAAGTTTCCTTCTTTCAATAAATGAAGCAATATGTTCTGCGTTTTGATGATTCATCCTCCTGATTTTTTTCTTTTCTGCCAATTCTATTCTTTACTAGTTGTTCCTAAATTTGAGGAAGTTGTTACTTATTGATGTTGTAGTTGAATTAGCCATTCCATTTTGACTGAAAATACTTCCTCAATTAGTAGCCCCTCCCTATGGTTTCTGCGAACTGTTATTTTATATTAGATTCATATTCCTTTGATTTTGAATAAACGAGGCAAGATAATCTTTCTACTTTGCTGCTGGTATCAAACCTTGCATTTTTAACAAGCCATTCTGTACATTTTAAGTCCTTTGTTTATTCATTTAGATATCTCTAAATTTGTTATTGGCTAAATTATTTTAGTGCTGCATCTGCTGCATGTTTGATTTACAATCTCTATTAATAAAATTAGTTAATTTTTAAATATGTATTTATCAATAATTTAATACGAATGTTGAAATATTGTTTTGCCAATATAGATATAATACCTGTTTGGAAAAGAAAGTATTGATCCTCTTTTCAAAAATGTTATAATAGAATATTTTATGCATTTAAGATTCTTTTTTATTCATATGCAAAGATAACTCACAATGGGGTTTTGGGGTTTTGGGGTTTTGGGG